ATTCGTGAATAAGGTTCGTGCTCACAACCCTAAACAGACCCTTATTGTTTTATTTATAGGCTTAGGAAAAGATATTAACCCTAATTCTACTTTAATCGTAGAGACGGAAATCAACAATTCCTTACATCTCTAAGGCGGCTTAATTAAACAAGGCGGCTTTATTCAAACGTGACGGTAAAGAGACAAAACCCTAATAATTTAACCTATTTAATTAAATAAAATAAAAAACCAATTAACCAATTAATTAAAACCACAATTAAATTATATAAAATAATTAACCAACAAAACAATTCAAACACAACCCAAATGACAATTAAATCAATTAAAGACTAAATAATTAAATCAAATAAAAAATGAATAAATAATTTAGTCAATTAAACCTAAACACATATCCACATAAACACATAAAACACTTAAAATAAATAGTAAAATTCCAATTATATCCTTTTTAATTTTAGGGGTATTACAGGCTGCCTCTTCCTGCAGACTCTTGATAAGAGCATTGTAGCTCTTCTTCTAGTCAGCCCATTTGTAATGGCAAGCACCAGACTCGGTGATCTCCTACAGATCGAACAGGTAGTGTTGATCCCGAAAGAGCTATGTAATCAAATGAGCATAAGGGAAGAACTTGGGCTTCTGAGGGTCCTCCTTGCTGATGAACTCATCATACAGCTTCATCATGACATTCCAGAGGAGCATAGGAACTGAGAACCAATGCCTTGTATCAATGGCATATAAAGCTGCTAGAAAATCAGCCCGCCGTTGGGTCTTGTGCCCAGACATATATACATTTCGGTTCAAGACCGAATCAAATAACCATATGCGGTCAGGCAGGTAGGTCCGAGTGGCATAAGTGTCGGTGGCAGTGGTGGTGCCAAGGAGAGCTGTGGCCATCTCTGCGTATGATAGCCTCTGTAAAGTCAGGTAATCAATCCTTGGAGGACATGTATGTGGGTACTGAGATGCTGTCGATAATGTCTCGACAGTGATGCAGATAAGGTGCCCGTTAATAGTGGTCCGCAGCTCTTCCAGGTTACTCGGATTCGGCCTGAGGTTTTGGTAGAAAGGCTGAACCAATCTCGGGTAGACCGGGTTAGTCACTGGGGCCAAAATAGGAGAAATGTGGCAACGATAGATCTCATCGTATGACCACTTGGCCGTCGATGCGCGTGCGAAAACTTCCTCATCTACAATAGACTCATATGCCACTACAATACGTGAAAACTTCTGAGTAACCCTATCTCGGTCAATAGCGAGTTGTGCCGGTGGTGGCATGGGAGCAGGTGATGGAGGTGGCTTGGGCTCACTCTCCGAAGAAAAAGAAAAATAATGCTCAGACTCGGCAAGAGCTGGCTCTTCAGTCCAGGGCCTCACCCGACAACCATAAGTCGGGTTAGCCGTGGTCTTGAACCTAGTCATGGCCTGCAAAAAGAAAGAACACTTGCAATTATAGTCAGTAACATGAAATGGTGTATGAGACGCAAAAATGAAAGCACAAAGATAAAAACAAGCTTATCAGATTAAGATAGACAACACAATACTGAAATGGTGCAAATATCACAGTATGGAAACATATGAATCTATCTAAACAAGTGGTAATGCAAGCCAAACATATACAGTGAACGAACAAAGGGTATACTCTGATTCATCAAGTATTATGAAACATGCTAGACATGACAAGTATAGAATGCAACCAATGTGGAAAACACAGGCATTGGGCATAGATGTGATAACATGGAACACGGAAGAGGGTACATGAGTATCAATATGTAAAGCAGTGAAGTTCGAACAATCATAGAAAAATGTGATTGATCCAAGTTGGATCGATCATGATATATATTGGATTGATCGTGCTCTAATCGATCAGAGCACTGGCGTGATCAATCGAACATACTGAAAGTTGAAAAGTCACCCGTTCGTGACGTGGAAAACACGGGGTGAATCCCAATGGTCACTTGAAGGCTCGTGACCCCCTATACACCTCAACAAAGCACAAATGGTCACTTAAAACGGCACGTAACCCCCGATTTCAAATTCGGACACAAAATCTATATATACAAATATATACATATATATGCACATGCTCACAATCCAAAAATGGAAACAAAATCAATTTTGAATCATTCAAATCTAAACATTGCAAGCAAGATTAACATAAAAAAAAATTCAAAAATGGAAATGAAATGAAGAACTCACCTAAGACCGATGAGAGAAGTGGAGAGAGAGAAGAGAGGAGATCGGAGATGGAAGATTTGGGGCCCTGGATGTTGCCAGAGGTTCGTCAGAGATGGGGAAGAAAAGGAAATAAAATCTTTTTGAAAATGCTTTTTTTTTTTTTTGAAAATTTGAAAATTGAATTTTTAAAAAGTCAAGGTCAAAAGAAAGTCAACAGGGGAACTCTGAACGATCGAAGTTTGATCGATCGGACCTCAATCGTTCCAAAGGTTTGAACGATGGACAGAGACCTGAAAATTTGCCGAGAATCTCGAATGACGGGAAAGAGACATGAAATTTTCAGAACTTTAAAATTTTTCTAAGTGTGATCGTTCACAAGAACACTGGATCAATCGGAAAATACTTGGAACGATCAAACAAAAGTTCGAGCGATGGACAGAGACCTGAAAATCTACAGAGAATCTCAAACGATGGGACAGAGACATGAAAGTCTGCAGAGAATTGACTGCAAAGATGTTCGATCGATCGAGGATGCTCTTATGATTGATTGAACAGGCACTAAATGCCTAATTTGGAGATGAAAGTGCACACATTCCCTATCAAAACCTCAAAACAGAAATGGATGATTATAGATTGTATCTAGACGATGCAAGAATAGAAAATAAAAAGAAATGAGGGAGGAATAGGGTTAGAGAACCCTATGAAGCACTAGTGTTTAACGTCTCTAACAAGACGTTAGGCTCTTTTAGCCCAGATCAAAAATCTTGGTAGGCATCCCCTTTTTGATGGGGTGAATGGAACTTCGAAACCCCTCCCAACAAACTATTCCCTAAGGAAATTGTTGGATTTGGTTCAAATCCTTTCAATGGTTCTTGGTCAACAAACTTTTTGGGCTTCCATGCCCGTTCAACACTAGATTTGAAAACAATATCTTTTGAAATCTCTTTAGAAGACAAACCATTTGATATTTCAAAACCAAGCAAGGACTCATTCTTTTCAAATTTATTTGCAAAACATTTTTCAACAACACATATATTTTCATGTTTGTCAATAGAATTGGGGGTTGGATTAAAAATGTTCAACTTCACTTTCATGTGGCCAAAAGAGATCTTCATTATCCCCGTCCTACAATTGATGTTGGCATTAGCAGTAGCCAAGAAGGGACGGCCAAGGATAACGGGAATTTGGCTCTTAGGATTTGGGACTGGTTCTGTGTCAATGACAACGAAATCGACTGAGAAGAAGAATTTATCAATTTTAATCAAAACATCTTCAATGATACCTCAGGGCTACTTAATTGATCGGTCGGTTAGTTACAAAACTACCGACGTCGGTTTCAAATCACATAAACCCAATTGAACATAAACCAAATAGGGGAGAAGATTCAAAAGAGCCCGATTGATGACATGATCACCTATAGTGCATAAAGTAGTGGGTGAACCGGGGTCCTTGAATTTTGGGAGGGTGTTGTGTTGTAAGATAGAGCTCACTTGCTCGGTTAGAACAACTTTTCTTTGTGCTTGGCTTTTATTTTTCCTCTTAAGGGTGTAAAGATCTTTCAAAAATTTGGCATAAGCTGAAATTTGTCGAATTGCATCCAAGAGAGGAAGATTGATTTTTACTTACCTAAACACATTAATGATTTCATTGGCTTTGCTTTGTTGTTTTTCAAAAGAGGTGGATGCTTTTAAAGTATCCAAAAATGGAGCTTTAGGCTCAAAAGATCTTTCAAAAATATTCTTTGAAGCATTTTCAACAATGGGATCTTTTACATTCAATGAAGAAGGAGTGGGTGTGAGACGGAATGGGTGTCAACACTAGGTTGCACCGGTTCACTCTCTTCATTGGACGTACCAACTTGGTTATCAATAACCTTTCCACTTCTCAAAGTGGTCACCGCATTCACATGTTCAAGTGTATGACCTTCCGAAAGGGAATTGGTCTCCACAACAAATTGTTGCTTTGGTGGGGGATTTAAAGGCATTTTTCCCTTCTCCCTCGCATTCAACGTGCTAGTTATTTGCCTGACTTGGGTTTCTAGCTTTGCAATCAATTGGGAGTGAGAGTAAAGCAATTGAGTATTTGTCTCCAAAGTACCCAAAGCGGATAAAACTTTATTTTCAAATGCGAGACTTCTTGAATTACCTTGAGAATATGATGATTGGTTTGGAAAATGAGAGTTTGAAAATTGATTTCCATTTGATGCTTGATAAAATGAACGATAACCTTGGAAACCTTGGCCTTGCATAGGGGTGAACATACTTGCTTTGGAAACCACTTTGGGGAGGGTTTGAGCTTTCCCCTTGTCTTTTCCAAGAGAAATTTGGATGATTCCTCCATCCGGGATTATAGTGAATGCCATAGGGATTATTCCACTGGTTAACAAAAGTAACATTTACTTGTTCATGGTGTTCACAATGCACATGTCCATGAGGACAATTGGAAGTAAAATGCAACACACTAGAACAAGTCATGCAAGATTCATTGGAATGATGATGATTATGGTTAGGTGAGAAAGACACTTGATGGGCTGAATTTTGGTTAATCAAAATTGATCAAACCTTTGAGATAGGGACTTCACTTCGGCAACTATATCATTAGAATTATCAACTTGATATAAGCTTAGATTCTTCTTTCCACCTACATTTCTACCATTTTTAGATGACAATGATCGATGCATTGAGTTTTCAGTCATGCTTTCATATAAGCGTCACACATCATCTTCATGCTTATTAAGATAAAAACCACCCATATAAGCATCAACCATACCTTTATGGTTGTCCGACAAACTTTCAAAGAAATATTGAACCAATTACCATTTAGGAATGTCGTGATGAGGACATTTCCTAAGAAAATCGTTCAACCATTCCCATACGTCGTGAAATATTTCCCTATCCCCTTGTGAGAATTCACAAATTGAAGTTCTCATTGCATTGGTTTTAGACACCGGATAGTACTTTATCAAGAACTCTTATTACATCTTTGCCTAAGAAGTTACAGAAAAAAGGTCTCAAATTGTTAAACCAATATTTTGCTTTATCTTTTAGGGTGAAAGGGAAGAGTTTTAACCTCAAAACCTCTTCCGGTATATCCGTGTATTTCACGACGGAACAAACTTCAAGAAATTCATCCAAATGCTTATATGGTTCTTCATTAGGTAGCCCATGATAATTGAGAAGCATTTGAATTGTTTGTGGTTTAATCTCATAATGATGTGCTCTAAATGGAGGGAGTTGAATGCATGTTGGTGCATTATACTCATTAGGCACATAATGGTCTCCTAAAGCAAGAGGAGGATTCACAACGGGGGGTGGAGGTTGTGATACCCCCTAATTTCAGAGACATGGGTTGATCAAGTCCACGCTCACAAAACCAAGGGATATCAAAATAATAAATATTTAGCAAGCACAGAATACAACAATGAATAATAACGAATAAATAAAAGGCTGAAGAAACTAATAAATAATAATTCCATTAATTAAAAATCCTACAAAGGTTACAACTCGGGAATCCAATAGTTTAAGGACCCCTTAACCAATATCCATTAATCCAAAAATCATAAGTAAAACTAAAGTCAAATAACTTAACAACATCCTACTTTGAAATAAATGAGAGTGGATGATGGATAAACCTCCAAGCTGCAAATTCTCAACCTTGAGACTTGAACTTCTACGAACCTGAAAAATAAAATAAGGTGGGTCAAAACCCATGAACAAGTTCCCTCTAACAAGCCCCTGAAAACTGATTAATAACACATCTCTAACCACAACCATCCTAATTCCAATTTTAGCCTTTAATAAATAGTGATAAATAATAATACATAAAATCACAAATAATAATTACTCCCTCTATAATCTCAAACCGTGAATTAATAAATATATATATAGATATATATATATATATACACATGACCATCCTTAACATACACCGTTTCCATCACATGGAACTCCACTTTCCCAAAATTAATCCAAATGGTTAATTAACCATTAACCGTGCTTTGGCAACTCGTCCAAGCCTCCACAAGTATAATATATATAAACTTAACCAATTGACATTCCAATTATATCCTGGCAAATAACCCATGCCTGTAATAGTATGTTCTTGTCCATACTTAGTTAATGACAACTTATTCATAACTTTGGCAAATAATCCATGCCTCCAATAGTATGTTCTTGTCCATACTTAGTTAATGATGATTTATTTATATCTCTGACAAATAATTCATGCCTCCAATACTATGTTCTCTACATACAAAATTGATAACAAAATATTTATACCTTGGCAAATAATACATGCCTCCAAATCAACCATATCCCATAAGTATAAATTAAAATCACAATAAAGCATACGATAAACAACATAGGTACAATACAAGCATACACAAAAAGATGTAAAATAATCCTCTAAGATTTTCATCCCAATTACAACATGTCAACACATGATAAATCTCATAGAACAATTTAATAAATTGTTTAAACATGTTTCCAAAACCAATAGTCGTATAAGCATTCAAAACTTCCCTTTAAATTATTGTTAAATTAATCATTCTTATTTAGATTAGTTAAAATAAGTTTAAAAATAATCCTGGGCAATTAAAACCAACATCCAGGTCGTGATCCAACTGAGCAGGCTAAGTTCCCAACTGAACAAGCTGAGTTCCCAACTTAGCAAGCTGAGTTCCCAACTGAGCAAGCTAAATTCCTAACTTAGTCGGCTGAGTTGGGTTGAAGTGTCTTCTTCGTCGCGACAGCAACATCCAACCTCTGTAACTTGTCCGTCTCACCTCCGATTTGTATAAGAACAATCCTAATTAAATTCTACGACGATCTAATACATAGTTATGCATCCATATACGTATTCTAAACATGATCTAACATGATTTCATTCAAATCAAAACAACCAAAAACATTATAATATAAATACATATATATACAACCAGTTTCCTTCCATGCTTTTAACCCTATGTCTAGGTGATTAACATGCAATTTACAGTCTAAATTATGACACCCAAGGTGTAGAACTCATGGGTTCTAAGAGGAGAGGTAGAGAAAAACTTGCCTGAAGTTTCAAAACGAAACTAACGCACCGCAAGCTCCTCAATTCTGATCTGCAACTCTGGCTTCTCTATACGTTACCGTTGTCTCCTTTCTTGGTCCAGCCTTCCCTTTGGTTCGGCTTTCCCTCTCGGTTTCTCTCTCTCTCGGCAAACCCTATTTCTGCCTCCTTCTTTCTCACGTAATAACCCTTTCTAAGGGTTACACAGTAGGTATATCTATATATATATACACATATACCTAGCCTCCTAACCCTAATCTGATAACTCCCTATATGTATCTACGTAATATACATATAAACATATATATATAAGTAATTTATATATATATATATATATAATCTTTCGAAATAAACAAGTATATATATATGATGTATATATACTTACTATAATTATCTATATATTTCAATTAATATATATATATATATATATATATATATATATATAATAAATCCCACAATAATGATAATCATATGTAATTACATCATATTATATATATATATATATATATTTATATAGGGGGATTATATATATATAGTAATATATATAGGGGGATTATATATATATAGTAATAGGGGGATTATATATATATATAGTAATATATATATATATACGTATATATATTTATATAATCCAATCCGTCTATTATGCATAATATATTTTATATAAACATTCATGCATAAATCCATGGGTCTCTAAGCCTTATAAATCCTCCAAGGCTTCCCATATAGTCCACTATCAAATCCTTTAATCCATTTCCAAGTCCAGTCCATTTAATAAAATAAATAAATCCATAAAACAACTAATTACATGCATCACATACACAAACAATCAACAAAGTCATTCCATATAACCAAAGTCAACACAACAACAAATCAATCAAAAATCAAGTATCTAACACACAGACAATCATCATTCCAATAAATCAAATAACAAAATAAATTAAATTAAACTAGTAAATTCATTTAAACCAATTTAAAGGCAATTTATTTAATTAAATATTTCCTTTAAAATCTAGGGGTATTACATTCTTCCCCCCTAACAAAAGGAATTCCGTGCTCGGAATTCACGAATCCTTGAAATGAAAACTTTTATTATTTATACCAAAATTTTCATTTCTCATTTTTCCATTTCCCTTTTCCGCGTGGAAATTACTCCATCCACACATACGTAACACATAATCTATTACATTATGAACGTGTTAAGCGAATCCGTATTTGTTGCATTTAATTGCAACCTAACCTTGCCAACTTATCTGCGTTGGTAACTATCCCCATTGTTACATCATCTGGCAACAAAAAATATAAAAATCCCGTTTACACACATGAGGTGAATATACAGTAGCGCCAAAAATAGGTTATTACCTATTTAAAACAAAATATGAGATAATTAGTGACTGAGGTAACAATCATCCCTCCTTACCAAATTACCTTATTCTAAAAAGGAAAGATAATATGGAGTAATAATGCACTTCCTATCCCTTGAACTCGAATATACGAGTTTATGCTAAATATAACCATTCCGCTTATGCTAGCAGCGCACATAAGATCTCTAAGAAGAGTATCTCACAACAATGGGTCCTTAAAATGTATATAGAACCAAAACTTCAGTAATACCCAACCATGTACATGATCAATCATCCAAATCCGTAAACCTTGTTATAACAATAATCTTTTAACGACCATTGCTATAGTCCAACTATAAGAGCTTATTTATTGCTCTCATTTTCCTTGCCATTGATGGCCCGTTCCAGTCACATCCACTTATTGTAGCGGTGGATATCCTAACTTGGTCATACTATCAACCTTTACCAATACAGAAGTAGAATCCCAATGAAATGTCAGTAATTCGCTAATAAAAGTTACGGAAGTACCTTCCCATATCCATGTTAATGTTAATAAAGTGGCAATAATGTTACCTTGTGATCCCCTCACATCCTCCTGAGTAGTTAAGACTGAGAGTTGATACCCCAGTTCTTACCACCTCCCTCATACTTGTCGATACATTCGACATCCCTGTATCTCATTACTTATCAGATTTCACTAACGAAAGTGAAATGCTTCTGAAAGTCAACATTAGATCTAGTGCGACCTCAAAATTCCCCGACAAATAATCATGAGACAAAAAGTTATAACTTCCCATATCTCTTATATCCCTCCTTGATCCATTTCATATGTATGGACGTATACCATAGGCCTTTATATTCTAGCCCCCACAATATGATACTACAGTAATTACCTTTATTTATTAGACAAAACACTACTCAAACTCCATTTCGTGGATTTATACAAAATGGTTATGGTAATTAAACTTCCAAAATCCACCAGAAAGGAAAGTCGTTCCTTTCGTCATTCCTATCCGACCGTTGCAGAGATTTATCGATTAATACCGATTTATGTCAATACTAAGTGTCAACCAACCCTTTAATTTATTATAAATTATCCAACCAAAAATCCTCCCTCACCACAATACACTCTATTTGTCATTAGAGTGATCGATCCCACATTATCATAAATTCATTTGCCAGATAATTCGAAACTACATTCCCCTTTTATTAGGGTTATACCAAAGTCTTGAATGAAAACATTAAAACCTGACTTATACAAGTAAAATGTTTTTTGAGATAATTGCATGTTCCCATCCGTTGAAATATTTATTTCAACAATCTCCTTAAAGTTAGAGTCAAAATTCATCTTTGACGCAAAAGCAACCCTAAAAAAAATTTCTCGTAATTAACGAGACATTAGTACCTAATCCTTTGTCCTTTTCGTGGACTCCTTATCTATAACGAACTATATACCAACCCTGGGAATGAAAATTTTTTTTTATTACATCCCAATCCTCCTTTATCAAAACATTTACCCAATCTCGATTTCCAA